ATCTAAACTTCTTTTCAGCTAACCCAATAAAGTGTGAGGCAAGGACCTCAGGAACTCTCAGAATTACCAATTCCACCGAAGGTTAATGATTGAAAATGTTCTATGTCTCTACCATTTTTCTTCTCACAAAAGTGCCCCTTTGCTCCAACGAGTTCCTAGACTTTCAATCCTCAAACATCTCTCGAACATTGTCAGAGAGTAGTTGCCAGGCCAGCAGAAACCATCACCGAGCGGAACTGTAAATGTATATTTTCCTTTGACACTTTCAGGGTTACGAGAAAATGAAAACAGTTGGATACCAGAAGTTATCAATCGATGGCGATTCGGAAAGAATCGGTTACGTTTCTTTTCTTTTATTCCAATGGATGAATAACATCTTCGAGAAAGGTAGCAAAGGAAGGATAGATGAGAGCGACTTTGAACCACTTTCAAGGGAAAACACCACCGAGGTTTTCACCAATCGCCTCCAAACATGCTGGAATGAAGAAAAAGCTGCTACAAAAGGCAGTGAACAAAGACCACAACTTTGGAGAAGTGTCATAAAAATGATCTCTTTAAAGGATGCAATGATCATTGTGCTCCTTTACTTGGCATCCTTACTTTGGCGCCTCTCTAGGCCTTTGTTTCTTGGTTACCTTGTTTCTTCATTGGTGGAAGCCGAGCCACATAAAAGTTTTCTTCTGTACGGTTGTGTAACAGCTATGGGAATCTGTGCCGTTATTGGGGCGACAGCTGTTCATCACCATGGGTATCAATGTGATATGTACGGTATCGGAATAAGCAGTGCTCTGAAAGGACTAATTTACCAAAAGGTATGCAATTTAGTTGTCTATTGAACTTTTCTGACACTGATATTACACACATAACAAACCATGAGTCCTAACATATTTGACTAGCCAGCGTCATGTTTTGGCAGGATCTACCATCAAGGTTAGTTACAGGACAAAATTCTATACAATGATTGCATAAGAGTTGAGGTCAACTGCCCAAAATTATCCTGCAGTTAACTCATTAAATGATCATGAGGGCTCTCTTCCTTTTTATCAATTGTCACTAGCATGAAGAACAAAACGATTCTGACTCCTGTCCGTTGATTGGAGCCTTCGACATTCGAATTAGGCTGTCCAGTTCCCTACACTGAAATACGCCACTGACAACTTGTCGATGAGTTGTGCCGTAAACTAGGTTTACGAGTGTATGGTTAAAATCACTTGTACGTTCTCCTTAGCCCAGCCGTGAAGCATCAAAAGATCAGAATGTTTGAAGGTAGAATTATCAAACAAGAACCAGAAGTTCGCTTTGTGCCACATTCTTGACAAATTGATGTCATAAGTATCGATTAAATTCACGGGTACGTTTCCCAATAATTAGCGACTATGAGCTCGAAAGGCTGAACAAATTTTGTATTTTCAGATTCTAATGCTCAACAAGACTGAGTTATTGAAATTTACAACAGGCCGTGTGATTGACCTTGTAACCAACGATGTTCAGCGACTCGAAGAGCATACTGTCTCGTGGGGTGTTAGTGCTCTTTTGGATTTCTTCCTACTCGTAACTATTATAGGGGTACTACTTGTGTATTTTGTTGGTTGGCAATCTCTGATGGGTGTCACATGCCTCTTTTTGCTTGTGCCATATTTCGCTGAGTTATCCTACGTCTCTGCTGTACTACGCCTG